CTCCTCTCGCTCCACCCGGTGCGCCTTGTCCTTCAGTTGTTCGAGTTGCTGCTGGGCATTCTGTAGTGAAGTTTCAGCGGCCGTTCGGGCCGACAGAATCGCCTTCATTGAAGCTGCAGCGGCTTCCAGCGTAGTCTCAACAGTAGTCAGCGCCTGTTTGACGCTTCCAGCTACTTCCTCACCATTATTGGCAGCTTTGGACTCTAACATCGCTTGCTTGACACGGTTGTAAGCCCTCATTGTAATATTCTGAGCAGCTTTTAGCCTTTCTTTTTGCTCATCGGTTGGCTTTTCGGTAATTGTGGGTATGACTTTCATCGCTTCCTGCACTGCCGCTTCGGCTTCGGTTGCTGCATTCTTATGTATGAGGGCAACCTCACGTGCCATCTCCGCCGCCACGAGGGCTGCGCCCACTGCAGTCCTTGCGCCCTCCACTGTCGCCTTTGCCTCTCTTTCAGTCTTCGTAATGTAGGCCTCTGCGTCGGTTGGCTCCGCCCCAGCCAGGCTGAGGTGCCGCAGCGCCTCGTCGGCCTTCGCCTTTGCGTTCTTGATCTTCTGCACCACACCGTCGGCATCCAAAACGGTCTGTACAACACCCGGCATCAATGCCGTTATCTCTTCCTTTGCCCTCTCTGCATCGGCTTTCTTTTCTTCCGCCTTTTTGGGATCCGCTTCTTTAAGGGGTTCCTTTAGATTCTTCAGCGTGATGGCCGCCCTGGAAACATTTGAAATTGCAGAAGAGACAGCCAGTGCATTCTTCTTCACGGCATCAGCATTCATTTTGATAGCCTCCACCACCTCCAGGGCCTTCTCCGCCGCCTCCTTCGTTTCCTTCAGTGCAGCCTCAGAACCCTTCGTGGTCTGCTCCTTTTTCTTCGCCCCCTCTATAGCAGCCTTCGCTTTTTCAACCTCCGCCTCGTGAAGAGCAATCCTTGCCTTAATATCACTGGAACTTACAGCCGACTCCTCAGTCGCAGCAGCCGTCACGCACAAGGCCGTGCAGCACAGAGCAGCGGCCAACAAGCACACAACGCGGCGCACTGTTACCATGATTCAATATCGCTTCAACAGCTGGGGTCTGCAGGGAGGAGAGAAGAGAGACGCTGCACAGCAGACAGCCCCAACACACACACACGGAGCGGAAGGGAGCAGCAGGCACAACACAGGCGGCATCAACCATGATAAAAAGAAACCCATTAGAGAAAAGAGAAGTGGACGGCGGAAGAGACACACACACTCCGCTGGAGTCCAAAAGAAAGAGGGAACAACGAGGCAGCAGCAGCGCACGTGGACGCAGTCGTACTGCTGGCCCTCATGTCCCGGTGTGTGTGTGTGTGTGTGTGTGTCCCGGTGCGCGGCACAGAGACGACGGGCGGGGCGAAGGACGCACCACACACACAGAGAGAGAGAATGATGAAAAGAGAATCCCCAGCAGGAGAGACAGTTAGTGGGCGGCGCACAGCAGCGCGCAAAGCAAAGCCCAAGCAAGAAAAGAAAACACGCCTCCCCCTTCCCAAAGTGCAGTGCACAGTGCGTGTTGTCGAGGGCAAGTGGGTCGGCGTTACGCCCACAACGGGATAGCAAGAAGCGAAAAAAAAGGATCTTACCAATCAGGCGTGCAGTCCTCGGGGCTCAGCAGAATTACGGTCGGAGCA